CACAGTCTACATCAGCTTTGTGTGGCTAAATTAGTTATAAAGCATAACTGTCGAAAAAAAAATACTTAAGCCGTTGTGTCACCCTTCAGATCATTGTTTTGAACTGCATAACGTCATTTCCCTCCAGCGTGCAAAAGTAATTCAGATATTGATTTGGGGTTTAGAAATGTTTTAATTCTGCCTTTATGGTCTTTGATTTCATCCATACAAGGCCACGTTGGTCTTTTAGAAAGAAGTTCAGGTTGATGCAGAGTTTGCGAATGACGTCTCTCTGTCAGCTGTAGATGCGTGCTTTACATGTGCGCGCGAGTGACATATCTGTCTGCTTGAAGAGGCTGCGCAGAAATTCAAATTTAAATTTGTTGACAGACAGTTTGAGATATGTCGTAATTGAATTATTTGTCGGCCCGACAATTTTTAATTGGATGAATTTTTTTTATTTTATGTCTTATCCAGAATATAAAAATACATATAAACACAATTAGATGATTTACTTCAGTCATCACTATTGGAATGTGAAGAGACTTTCAACCAGCACAACAACAAAATGTTTCTGAAGACAATCACCTACTGCACCTTTAAAGCAGCAAAATGTGTATTTGTAAAATGTGCAACACATCGACAACTAAAATATACACCTTACTCCAGTTACTCAAGAGAATTGGCTTTTTAAATAGGTTTGATTTCCGATGACCAGAAAGTGCAGAAAAGCAATTTATAAAAGTATATCAAGTGTATTTCAGTATTGTTGCTCAACTATTGAGTTTGGACTCATCTTAAGCCCCGGTCAGATCACACAATTTATATTGTCGGTTACAAAAGTCACTATGTGAGATCATGCAATTTTTTCTTGATAAAATCTTGACTTGTCGTGGGTAGCAAATGTGCCAGACTACACTTTCCTTCATGAACAGTTATCGCGTGACATCTACAACGAGTGTTATTTCCCAAAGCAGTCACATTGCTATAACAATATTTTTCTTATCTCATTTTCAATTTTTTTTTGTTTTTTTTTTAAATCGTATTCTAATCTCAATAAACACTGATGCTTGCAGACAACTAATAACTAGGCTACATTATTTAAGGGCACTCATTAGGATAGGATCAAATTTATAATTCCTTTTTACAGGGGCATAACCACGGTGTGCCGGTGCCTAATATATATATATATATATATATATATATATATATATATATATATATATATACATACATACAGTTGATGTCAGAATTATTAGCCCCCTAAATTATTAGCGCCCGTTTATTTTTTCCCCCAATTTCTGGTAAATGGAGAGAAGATTGTTTCAGCACATTTTTAAGCATAATAGTCTAAAAACTTATTTCTAATAACTGATTTATTTTATCTTTGCCATGATGACAGTCAATATTTTACTATATATTTTTCAAGACACTTCTATATAGCTTAAAGAGACATTTAAAGGCTTAACTAGGTTAATTAGGTTAACTAACTAATTACCCAGGTTAGGGTAATTAGGCAAGTTATTCAATATCAATGGTTTGTTCTGTAGACTGTTGAAAAAAAATTGCTTATAGGGGCTAATAATTTTGTCCCAAAAATGGTTTTAAAAAAATTAAAAACTGCTTTTATTCTTGCCAAAATAAAACAAATAAGACTTTCTCCAGAAGAAAAAAATATTATCAGACACACTGTGAAAATTTCCTTTCTCTGTTAAAAATCATTTGGGAAATATTTAAAAAAGAAAAAAAAATCTAAAGGGGGCTAATAATTCTGACTTCAACTATATATATATATATATATATATATATATATATATATATATATATATATATATATATATATATATGTGCTTATGGCCTATTCCACGCTCAAGCACGTGCAAAAATATCGCATAGTAAATATCATAGTAATGATTATGAGTGTGTTGGGGGACATTTACTTCTATTGATGGATCTTATCCACCCGTGACCTACCCATAAGTAAGCCATAAATATGCATGCAGCCTATTATTTGATTACCTGACAAGTGCATTAACAGCAGCACCCACTGATATAACTGAGAAATGATGAGCTCCAATTGCACAGTGTCATCCATGTGACGGAACTCGTCGTGAAGATGGTAGCTAAATTAAACATGCTAGACTTGCTGTACATGCTCCTACTTGGTGTAGTGAGGCGTCGCAGACATGGTATCGGTTGTCCTGAACTATGGCACATTACACGAGAAGAAACAATTGAATCTTGTATCACGACGCCCATGTGTCATTTACAAATCGTGCAACCGTCCTATACGTCAAGGAAATTGTGCCTAATTCGTGTAATCTTACCGGGGCTTAAGTCGTGAGATCTGACCAGGGCTTTAGTAACAAAACTTGAAGTGCTCAGGGGCTTTTTATTTTAATTTTTTCTGTTCTGAAACCGCGGCAGATGAGATCATTAATGCTTTAAAAAAACTCTCTGCATCTTAAATAAGCAACTGGCAAGATCTGTAAGAAGCAATGCAGAGATATCTTTGGTTTTTAATATGCCCACACATGCTTTACATTGCTGAATAGAGCAGACGCTGCACTGCTGGGTATCTTGAAATGCTTTTAAATAATGCATAAAATACTCAGAAATTCATGCAGACCATTCAAATTAAGCAGCAGCCATGAAAAGAACATGCTATAATGTTAATGTATTGCACATCTCTCTGGAATATTTCTAGATTCTTCTTGGTCATTCTGTGGTTGCATGTTTGAACAATGTGTTTCATCTAATCCAGAGGTAGGGCAAGGCAGTGGCGCAGTAGGTACCCAGGTAGGAGGCGACGTTCTCGCAACCTTGCGCAACATTCCCTGAAAGTTTCCTAAAGGTAATGAAAGTCCAGAACCTTTACAGAACATTAGGGATGTTCTTAAAACGTTCTCTTTTAGTCATAAAATAACGTTCCCAGTATGACTTTAGGAGGACGTTCAGTTTTGGTCATTCTATGGTCACAAAATAACGTTACAAAGAGAACCTTTCTAACATTAATAGAACGTTTCCAGATGTTCCTCCTTTAGTCAATTAATAACGTTTCCAATATGACTTGAGGAGGACGTTCTGTTTTGGTCATTGGTCACATAATAACGTTACAAAGAGCACTCCCACAGCAAGAAAATGAATGAATGAATGAATAATCCAGAGGTTTCTTACATCGCTGTTAAATCTAAAAAAGAGCTATCTAAATAATTTAAACTCGACTAAGAATTCTTGTACACTTGAAAAATTTTGCTTATTACAAAAAGTAGAGCTTAAAAATTACTGTTCTGGTAATAGCAAGACATCTGGACATCTCACACATGACAGTTTTTGTTTTTTTTTTATAAAATGTGGTGCCCACAGCTAAAATAAGTTCTTGTAAAAATGCTTATAGATCTTGCATTTTTTCTTCTGTCCCGAATCACGAATTTTTAACCACAAAACAATCCACATATAGAAACTTTGAACTTTTTTAAACCATTTCCAATGTCACTGTATACTAACACACATACGCCCATCCCCGATTTCTTCCAAAAATTCTCAAAACCAAGAGATTCGATTAAATCGCGATCCAAAGAAATTCAAAAACAAATGAGAAAGAAAATAATTGAAATCTACCAGTCTGGAAAAGGTTATATAGTTTATAAAGGCTATCTTATTTGCTTTTTAAATTTCTTTAGACCTCAGCATGATGTCTAGCTTTTGAGGATTTTTTGGTCTACTTCACTTTGTCAGACAGGTCCCATTTAAGTAATGTCTTAAAAGCAAACACTTTTTCACACAGCGCTATGTAGTTTTGGATTAAGTTTTCTCTTAATATCTTCATTTAAAAACTGCATGATGCATTTAATTGGGATATCTTTGACTATTATTTAAATTAGTTTGATGATCTGAGACATTCAAGTGTGACACATGCACAGAGTAAGAACAAAAAGAATAAGAAATCAGTAAGGGGGACAATAAATTTTCAAGTCCCTGTATACTTTATACACACTCACTGACTGCTTTATTAAGTACACTTTATTAGTACCAGATTGGACCCCCTTTTGACTTCAGAATCCTGAAGACATGATAGCATCACGCAGTTGCTGCAGGATGTGAATCTCCCGTCCCACCACATCCCAAAGGCGCTCTATTGGATTGAGATCTGGTGACTGTGGAGGCCATTTGAGTACAGTGAACTGTCAGTGAATGCTGTACAGCGAATTGTCATGTTCAAGAAACCAGTCTGAGATGATTCACGCTTTATGAGATGGCACATTCTACTTCTGGAGGTAGCCCCCAGAAGATGGTATGATGTCTGTAAACCCTAGAGATGGTTGTGCATGAAAATCCCAGTAGATCAGCAGTTTCTGAAATACTCAGATCAGCCCGTCTGGCATCAACAACCATGCCACGTTTCTTAAATGACCCTTCTTCCCCATTCTGATGCTCGGTTTGAACTGCAGCAGATCATCTTGACCATGTCTACATGCCTAAATGCATTGAGTTGCTGCCATGTGATTGGCTGATCAGAAATTTGCGTTAATGAGCAGTTGAACAGGGCAGTTGCACTTAATAAAGTGGCCGGTGAGTGTATATTTACGTCTCCATGTCCATTGGAATTAAAAATATGTAAATTTAGATATATTAACTATAATTTTTTTTAATATATTTGCTTATATATGACCATCTATCGGATTTCTAAATGTCTTCTGTATAAATGGCTCCCAAATGTGTTTCCATTTTACTGTGCTTTTTTTTACTTTGTTTTCCAATGTTAATGCATGATGGATGGACATTTTTAATCTCTATATTGGTGTCTTTTTGCCATAACTTGCATGACACCACATTCTAAAAACGCAGTTGAGCTGAAAGAAAAACACATTTCTAGATCTCGCATTTCCCCTGCTGTCTGCAGTCTGGCAGGTTTAACAGCCGTATCGTGTTTTGTGTGAATGGCCCTTTACAAATCATCACCACTGAGCACTCAAAACAATGAAATGAAAAGATGTGAACTGGCAGGAAGATGCTCTTACTGCTGCTGGGTATGAGGTCGCGATGCGGAATGAAGAGTTTATATCCATAGTGTTTCTCCAGAACGTCAGGTAAAATCTCCAGAGCAAACTGCTCCTCCTCGCTCATCTCCTGCTCCACTGAATCCAAATCCACTTTGGTATAAGAGAGGTAGGCGTCATATTCCTTGTTGCCTGAAAGAAAAAGATAAGTTGCACATATTATCAACTTTTATTGATTAAAAATACTTTTAGTCAACTTATATTATTACATAAATTGTGTTACTCCATAAGCCAAAAGTTACATTGAAGGAAAAATATGTTAAATTTATTATTTAATTGATTAATTTTATTAAGTGATAATTCAAAATTTTTCTTCATGTACTTAATACTTTTTTTTCTTTGTCGACCAGAATAAAACAAAAAACAAAAAAAAATTATTAAAAAAAAAAAATATATATAAAAATTATTATAAAAAATATATAAAAAAATATTATAAAAAATTATATATATATATATATATATATATATATATATATATATATATATATATATATATATATATATATATATATATGTAAATAAGTAAAAAAATAAATAATATAAATGCACATATAAGTAAACAAACAAACAAACAAACAAACAAATAGTTAAATAAGGAAATAAATAAATAATAAAAATACATACATGAGTAAATAAATAAATATATAAAAATACATAAATGAACAAACAATAAAATAAATATATAAATAAAAAATAAATACATAAACAAAAACATAAACAAACAAACAAACAAACAAACAAACAAATGAATAATAAATAAATAAATAAATAAATAAATAAATAAATAAATAAATAAATAAATAAATAAATAAATAAAATACACATTGTAATTCCTAATTGTTTACTCACAATAAGCGAATAAATTATTATAACTATCATTATTATTTTTTGTTGTATTCTTCTTCATTTATGTTCTGCTGAGGAACAAAAACAATGTTATCACCATTTTGGACTGAAGGTAAGTAAATTAAAAACTCATTTTCATTATGGTTTAAACTATATTTACAAACAAACCATGTGTCAATTAGACTACACCACTAAATGAAAATTATTCAAATAATAATGATTATAATGCAATCGAAATTATTTTTATTGCACATATTTTAGTTTTTTGCTTTGCTTGATTTTTATTTGTATTTTTTTTAGTTAGCAAATTTCATTTTTATTTCTCAAAGATTAATTTTCCCTTTGTAGTTGTTTATTTTTGTTAGCACAATACATTTTTTTTATTTCTCATTTATTTTCTCTTTGCGATTATTGGAGATTTGCATTTATTTATTTGTTTTTTTGTTTGCAAAAAACTAATTTGTTTTGTTTTTTTTTTGTTTTTTTTTTGTTTCCAAAACTTTCTTTTATTTTGCAAGTATATGGCCCTAGATTGACTGACATAGGTTTTTAAGCATATGCGATTGATGGAAAAATTTAACAATTCTTAGTGGAAACAGAAATATTCTGAAAAATAAATTTGTATAACAAAACAACAACAAAAAAATAGTAAAAATAAATAAATAAATAAACAACAACAATTACTTCTCTCAACTGACTTATACAGAACATTTCACTTTATGTACAGTATTTAAGGCATGTTATAAATAACTGTATTTACTTTACAAATAAATTAACTGTAATCCATTACTTTACTTTTACTTTCTATTTTAATTACAGTAACTTGTTGCTTTGTAGCTAATTACACCTCACAAATTTGTTAGGTTTGGTTCACTGATATAAATAGTTAGCAATGCAAAGCATAGGTTTAAAATTAATCTAAAATTAACACGTGCATTACGAAGCATAGTTTCAAATATAACCACATTGGTAACATTTTTTATTTTTATTTAAATAACTATTATTTGTATTTACACTACGAAGGCATACTTGTGAAAAGGCCATGCATTAGAGATCAGATGGAGTCTAAGATAATGTATGATTTGCTGAATGAAGCAAATAAATAAAAGTAAACTGTATCATATTAAATTAGCTTTATCAACAATCCCCCTGGAAGCGAGGTAACAGTGAGAAAATATATTTAAGCCATTTTAATATAAAAAATAGATATTTTAATAGAAATAGCTTAATACTTAAACGTGAAAAATAAATAATTCTATTTATTTTGCATTATTTTAATTAGTTAAATAATAATAATAATAATAATAATAATAACTATTATAATAATAATAATAATAATAATAATAATAATAATAATAATAATTATTATTATTATTATTATTATCATTAGACATACCATCATCTGCTTCATCGCTGCCGAAGTGTTGTCTGTAGCACAGCATGATCTCCACATTATAGCACTTATAGATGGCGGTGAAGATCCCCAATAACAGCATGATGGCACCCAGACCACCAACCAGCTCCAACCTGTACATATCTACAAGAGAACAGAAACATACATCCTTAATGTTTATAATAATGTACAGAGAATGAGCAAGTCAAATGAAACATTTCTTCTTTATCTCTTAATGCAATTAAAAATACATGAGACAAATTTTGGACCATGTAATTGCCCTACTTCATCTGTCAGTTACATCAAACAGCATTTGACATATATGAACACATGGACATTCAGATCAGGCTTCACTTCACAAGGTCGAGAACAAAACATTCACATGTATGTGATGTCCAGCTTTCAGACAGTTGATACTAAGATTGAACATTAATTTGAACATGTACACCATTAGCCTATAACAGACCTGTCAACCCTCCCGTTTTTCCCAGGAGCCTCCCGTATTTTACAGTTATATCCCGTTATCATTCCATAAAGGTATTTTCCCATATTTCTTCCCGTATCTTTCTCTGAAGAGTGACAATAAACAGTTAAGAGCTGATCCTCCCTATAAGCAACCTACTGAACCATCAGGGGGCGCCCCTCACTCTTAAATGTGAATCTGTTCTGTTTTTTCATTTTATTTAGGCATGAAAACACGGTGAAATAAATATAAAACGGCAGGATTTCCTTCGCTTTCATTACAGGTGCTGTCGCCCCTCCTGTGCAATCCTAAAAACAGTAATGTAGCGGTGTGTGGTTGTCAGCTGACGCGCTACATAGTGATAAATAGACTCTGTTTCCCAAACAGATTCTTTACATGTGATTTGAAGCGTAGTGAAAGTCTAGGTTTTCGGTGCTGTTTAAGCAGACATATACACATAATTAATAATAATAACATCTTAAGATGGCGATCTTGCTGTTTTTTTTTTTAAACACAACAAATTTTGTCCTAAATGCACATAAAAAGTTAGGAAACAATCGAATGCTTTCATCATAACATTAGATGTGTGCATTTTTAAAGTGACACTTCTGTTATTTAATGTAATCAAACAGAAAATCCAAATAAATGAGATTCATTCGTTGCACTTTAATCAGAATGTGTGAGCTATACAGTGAAAAAAAAGGTTAATGAGATTTGATAACTTGATTCTATTTCTTGATAATAGCTATTAATTTTTATAATATGAACTGTTTGCTAATTTATTGGGGGGTGGATTGTTATCCCCTATTATGCTGGGCATATCCCTTATTGTCACATCCCAATGTTGACAGGTATACATTATAGCCCAGCAGGCACAGGACGTCAACATGACGGCAGATTGACATTGTACCCCAACGTCGTGAGGCATTAGATTTTGTTTGGAAATAAAAATCGGGTCTGAACCCAATGTCAGGCCGATGTCAATGCCCAACGTCAGGCAGAAATTGCATTTTGGCTACTTTCCAACCCAACCTAAAACAACCAAATATCAACGTCTAATGATGGTACAGCTTGATGTTGTGTGGACGTTACCAATATGACATCTACCAAATGTTGGATTTTGGTTGCCATTCCCGACAAATAAATGTCAGTATTTGATGTCAATATGACATTGGTGTAAGATGTTGGCTTGACATTGGATTTTGGTCATTTTCAACACAACCTAAACTCAACCAAATATCAACGTCATTTTACGTCATTAATGAACGTCAAAAAAACATTGTCCTTAGACACTGGTGATCTAAATCTAATAATCTAACCTATTAAGGTCTTATGACGTTGTGGTTTGTTGTACTTTGGCACAACAAATATACAACGTACAACAGAAAACCATACACTACGGGTCAAATGGTTGGTGTCTTACAACAAGGCAGCATTTACACTGTGTATAATGTAATTGAATTTTAAATAAGGGTTTCTGTTCGAATACTTAATTTAACTAGCAATCATTACAGACTTTAATGTCACACAGTCATTCAGAAATGAGTATAACATGCTGATGTATGCTGTAAAGTGATTTTCCACTTCAGTTTCTACATTTATATATGCATTATGTATCTGGATTTCTTACTTCAGGCTGTTTGAGTGAACATCATTCACAGCTGAATTTCATAAGCTAAATCTTTAATGAAGACAAAGGATGATAAAGCCCTTCTTTTAAGCACACAGTGGAGTCTATTTTAGCTACACTTTATATTCAGTTATGTTGGCATTAGTTTACTTTGATTCAGTTTACAGTAATTAGGGCCAGACAGAATTTGTAGACTTGTTTCTATTTCAATTCAATTCAATTCAGCTTTATTTGTATAGCGCTTTTGCAATGTAGATTGTGTCAAAGCAGCTTCACATAAATGGTCATAGTAACTGGAACAGTGTGGTTCAGTAACTGGAACAGTGTTGTTCAGGTTTTAGTGTTTAAGTTCAGTTCAGTTCAGTTTAGCTCAGTTCAGTGTGATTTAATCATTACTGAGAGTTCAAACACTGAAGAGCCAATTCATCGATGCGTAGCTCTACCAATCCTGAATCATGCAATCCTGAACATATTTCTTCACAGATTTTTGAAACAAATCTGTGTAAATGTGGAATGATTTTGAGTGTTGATTCATTCATTTTCCTTCGGCTTAATCCCTTTATTCATCAAGGGTTGCCACAGCGGAATGAACAGCCAACTTATCCAGCACGTTTCACACAGTGGATGCCCTTCCAGCTGCAACCCAGTACTGGGAAACATCCATACACACTCATTCACACACATACACTATGGCCAATTTGGTTTATTGAATTCACCTATACCGTGTGCCTTTGTACTGTGGGGGAAACTGTGGAGGAAACCCACGCCAACATGGGAGAACATGCAAACTCCACACAGAAATGCCAACTGTCCCAGATGGAACTCAAACCAGCTGTGAGGTGACAGTGCTGACAACTGAGCCACTGTGTCACTTAAGTTTAGAAGATGAAAACTTTATATAGCATAGCTTTTTTTTCTTTTACATCAATTGTTTGCAGAATGTCTTTATGGGGTGGTTACCACCCCCACCCCCTACCCCAATTTTGTTTTTTACTTCTTAAATACCTTATATATTATTAAATTGACATTGTTAGTGCATTCAGTTTCTGTGTGGAGTTTGCATGTTCTCCCTGACTTTGCGTGGGTTTTTATTCCGGGTGCTCTGATTTCCCTCACAGTCCAAAGACATACGGTACAGGTGAATTGGGTAAGCTAAATTGTCCATAGTGTTTGAGTGTGTGTGTGTGAATGTGTGTGTGGTTGTTTCCCAGAGATGGGTTGAGGCTGGAAGGGCATCCGCTGCGTAAAAACGTGCTATATAAGTTGGCGGTTCATTCTGCTGTGGCGACCCCGGATTAATAAAGGGACTAAGCCGACAAGAAAATGAATGAATGAATGTCAGTGCATTCACAGGCCTCTCTATTATATAGTGTGTGTAAACAACATGTGAGCAGAGTAGTATATCCAAATTAATAGTATTGGAAAAACAGTAGATGAGATGTACTCAGATGACCCACAAGTGCACATACGGTTGACGCTTTACTATCCAATGACACACTAGGTCACACTAGAATATGTATGAATTGGAGTGAAGTGAACTGATGCTGGTAGGTCATGTGATGATAAATGCTGAATGTTGAATGTCTGAATTTCATTCACACTACTCACGATCATACTATATGGGTTCTCCAACCTTATTTTACATGTAGGCTACTTTTTAAAAATTGAAAGTGGCAAGAGCTACTCATGTCTCAGTCACTGAATCTTAAAAATGTACTCTCACTGGCCACTTTATTAGGTACCTCTAACTAGTACCGGATTGGACCCCCTTTTGCATGCATAACTGCCTTTATTCTTTGTGGCATAGATTCAACAAGGTACTGGAAAAATTCCTCAGAGATTCTGGTCCATATTGACATGATAGCATCACGCAGTTTCTGCAGATTTGTCGGCTGCATAACACTGGTCCTGTTTTGAATCTGCCACTATGGTGACACATGGTTGTTTGCAGCTCTTTTGAAAAGACAGCTGGATCTCATTTGAATTTAAAGCAACAATAAAAATTATGTGTGGGATATTTTGAGCTGAAACTTCATACACATTCTAGGAACCTCGGAGACTTAATTTACATAATAAAAACGGGCAAAGTAGGTCCCCTTTAAATGTAATTTTTCAATATCACTTTAGTGAACATGTTTATTTATTTAATAATCATTCAAATGTAGGATAAATATAAATATAAGTCCTATAAAAGATTGGGAAAACAAATTATGTGTCCGTACAAAGATTTTAATTTGCTTTCAGATTAGGAGTGTCAGGGGCGTAGCACGAAATTCTGGGCCCTGTACCCTCTCAATGTCAGTGGGCCCCCTACACATTTTTTAAAAATTATTTAAATATAAACATGCACAAATAGTGTTTTAATCTATAATCAAATAAAATTATAATAATGACTGGTTCTTTCATTCACCACCATTGAGTGCTGCTTCTGCTGGTGTGTCGGAACCACTGGTTGTTTCTGAAACTGGTTAATGTTGGCAACCTGACGTTAGCTGGCCTGGCCCATAATTTACTTACAGCAACAAGCAGCCTGGTTGACAAACTAAGCTAAAGATTTAACATTAGCATACATACATTACAGGGCTCGAATTTAACTTTTTTACTTGGTAGCACTGGTGCTCCCAACTTCAAAAAGTTAGGAGCATCCCAAAAAATTTAGGAGCACCCATTTTCTTTTTAGTTATGCGCCAATGTTGATTCCTAATGGACGATTTTGATTAGCACATGTACATCTCGGAGATGTCTATTTGACGTCTGCATTCACATCTGCAATACATCTACAAGACGTTTCCTATCAGATGTGAAATAGACTTCTATTAGACATCTTTAAGATGTTTGCGATTCAGAATGTGTGTAAAACGGACATCATACAGACGTCTGCCAGACGTTTTCTGTTTTTAAAATCCCGATTTGGGCTTTTTGCGCAGCATGATCAGGCTCTAGACTCACTGCATTACTTGTTTGCCGCCGGCTGCCGTCTATGGGCGGACTAAACCATTTAGGGGGGGGGGGGGGGTGTTATCAATATATTTTGAAATATATAATGACATTGACATCAATTGGATGGGCCAATTAATTCGAAGTAGGCTACAAAAAAATTAAAAATAATAAAAAATTGGTGGGGTTTCAAAGGGCCCTCTCCCTAGACGGGGCCCTGGGTAGTCAGGTCCACTTTTCCCCCCACTACCACGCCCATGAGGAGTGTCTGTCCTTTTCTGCTGACATCAGTTTGTCAACTTCAGCAGAAAATATACTTAACCACATCCCCTTTTACCATTAGTTTGCTATGAGGGAATGATGTGCAAAAAGCCCTGCCTCTTACTCAATATTTAAACCGGAAGTACATCAACATAGTAAAATAAAAGTCTCAGCAGTCTCAGTTAACATCGACTTTAAGTTTAGAAACAAATTGAGTCTTCTGCTCCCTTGCCTCACAGTGCTTTGGTCCAAATTCCTGCTTTCCTCTGTTACATCATCTACACACCCACACACACGTCTGGCGAAAGAGAACAAAGTCAATAGTTGTGTAACTCAGTTAGTAACGCTGCTGTCAAGGTTGTTTCATTCACTTAAACATCGGATGACGTGATTAGCTTCTCTTTAATATGGATAATGGCAATGTAGGCTATTTTACGATTACTCTGCTCTGTTAGCAACAATAATGTTACCTGCTTGATAAATAGTATTGTCTAAAATGGAAACAACTGCTATTGCAGCACAAGCACAACAGCTTGAATTTTAGCATTATCATTTGTTCCCCCTTCAACAATTACCCTTAAGAGATTTTATGATCATTGCTTCCCCAACTGTTAGATGAAATTTACAGCCTTGATTGGTCGACTGGCCTGGAAAGTGGAAAGAGTGCAGCACAGCATTAAAATGGGCATGCTAGCTTCCTATATTTCTGTCAATGTCTCCTAAAACATAACTCACTTAATCCCCGATTAATCAGGGGTTGCCACAGTGGAATGAACTGCCAATTACTTTGGCATATGTTTTATGTGGAAGATGCCCCTCCAGCGGCAACCCAGCACTGGGATACACTCTCTCTCTTTCACATAACAAACATTTAGTTTATATTTAATTTGCCTATAGTGTACGTCTTTGGACTACAGAGGAAACTGGAGAACCCAGAGGAAAACCACATGAACATTGGGAGAACATGCAAACTCCACACAGAAATTCCACCTGGCCCAGCCAGGACTCGAACCAGCAACCCTCTTTTTTGGCTCCTATACAGCTTTGTGCAACCAATTACACAATTGTCCAACACAGGCTCATTGGGAAAATGTGCCCAGGTTTACATTTCTGAGAACCAACAATTATATCCGTCGGGATACGTAATAGCTATATTTTTGTGTATTGTAATGTGTATTAATAAAGCGCATTTATTGTGTATAGCCATGCACCCAATGTGCTTCACAATCATGAATCATGGGGGGGGTTGATAGGTCTCTCCACGACACCATCAGTGTGCAGCATCAATTTGGATGATGTGACGGCAGCCATAGGACAACAGCGCCAGTGCGCTCACCACACACTAGTTATTGGTGGACTAGAGAGACGGTGATAGGGCTAACTCAGTGGATGGGGGTGATTGGGAGGCCATGGGTAAAGACCGATGGAACAAATTTGAACAAGACACTGGGGTTACACGGCTACCCTTTACAAGACATGCCATGGGATTTTTAATGACCACAGAGAACCAGGACCTCAGTTTAACGTCTCATCCGAAAGACAGCACCCATTGACAGTTCAGTGTCCCCTTCACTTTACTGCGGCATAAGGACTCACTCAAACTGCAGGTTGAGTGCCCCCTGCTGCCCTTACTAACACCAAAAGCAACCTAGTTTCTGCCATTCAGGTATTAACTAAGCTCAGCTGCTTACTTTAGTGAGCAACTGGTCTTTGGCTGCAGGTTGATATGGCTGTGGCATTTTGTGTGTAAAATGAATGCTACAGTGCGGATTCGCTCACCGCTTACATCCATATGGACAGCTTTTCCAGTGTGATTGATTTGATCAGTAGCTAACCACAAATGGTGGCAGACTTGGGAGGTGGAGCAAGGGAAACAGGGTTAGAGTCGGGTGAAGGACACTTTCAGAAACAAGGAAAAATGAAACCCTAAACATAGAGCAGTGTGATGCTGTTGCCACGATGGCTTCACAACACTATTGGTTGGGTTGCCTGTGCCGACAGTACTGTATTTGAGATTGTCAAAAACAAAACTGCAAGAAAGCGTAGTCTAGTTTACATATTTCTCTTTTCTCAAAAATGTAGCCCTGGGCTAATAATTCCAGTGAGCCTACGATGCAATTGTCATGGACACGTGTTCTGGAACTCTGCCTTCTTTAATGTGTGATTTCTTCCTCCAGATGTGTTTCCACAGGGGTCAGGCAGGAGAACAAAATCCCAAACAACAACACTGGCCACATGGATACACTAGAAGTGGAGCAGCAGAGCTGGTGCAGATGTATCCGCACCTGTACGATCGCTCACAGAGAAATATTACAGACTTGGAGGAGGGCAAACACCAAATGAGAAGCCGACCTCATCTTTTCTATGAGTTTACACACACCGGCAGCACTATTTGGTGTCAGTCCATGGCAAACAGAAAAACAATATAACAATGTGAGGTGTCACGGTGGCACTTCTTGTGCAACAGGCTCGGGAAGATAGATGTTTATGGAACTGTTTTTCTCACCAATGGCCATTGTTGTGACGCATTTACAGCACCACCTATTGCAGCGTGGGGGTGTTCGAGTAAAAACTACCTTTTATCCTCAAAAAAAGAACCAAAAAGAAGTTTGTTTGAAGTTCACCGGGGCCTTTACCCAGAGAGCATCTCCAATTAATTAGAGCTTTGATATTTTTAGGAAGAAGCAGAGTCAATCAGGAAAAGAATAAAGGAGTATACATAGAAACAAACCTACGCTAACTTGTTTTCAGCTCAGCTCAAGTTATCGATGGCCATTAACCACTGGGAAAAACCATTGGGTTAAAAATGTAATTAAAACAAAATGACCCAGTCGTTGGGACTGTCATATGTCCACTAATTTTAAATTGAAACAGCCCAGTACATAGTTACAAAATGTCTGATTTACCTTTTTTCTGCAGGATGGCACTTCCACTGCCACGACCGATGTGGTTTTCTACATTACAGGTATAGTTTCCCATGTCAGTATCCTCAACAGCGTCAAAGACGAGAGACAGCTCCACTTCCTTCTCCCCCAGAAACTCTCGCACCACCCTGCACAACACAAACAATGCACATGTTCAGATTAGCATACTCACACACTATACAATCTATTTCGGCCGAATGCAGTGTATATATATATATATATACATACATACATACATACATACATACAGTTAAAATCAGAATTATTAGTTCCCCTTTGAATTTGTTTTTCTTTTTTAAATATTTCCCAAATGATGTTGAACAGAGCAAGGGAATTTTCACAATTTGTCTGATAATATTTTTTTCTTCTAGAGAAAGTCTTATTTGTTTTATTTTGGCAAGAGTAAAAGCAGTTTTTAATTTTTTAAACATCATTTTAAGGACAAAATTAGCCCCTTTAAGCTATATATATATATATTTTAAATGTCTACAGATCCAACCATTGTTATACAGTAACTTGCCTAATTACCCAAACCTGCCTAGGTAACCTAGTTTACCTAAGTCTTTAAATTTAAGCTGTATAGAAGTGTCATGAAAAATATCTAGTAAAACATTACTTACTATCATAATGAAGATAACATTAATTAGTTATTAAAAATAAGTTATGAAAACTATTATGTGTAAAAATGTGTTACCAAAAATGGTAACACTTTATAATAACTACACACTATGTATCATTTACAAAGCATTAGCATCTAGTCTAGTGAATTCTTTATTTGTTATGCATTAACTCTACATTAATAAACATTAGTAAGCAGTTTATAACTGCAGCTACAAATGCTGTATTCTTGACTTATTAGCACCTATATAATGTGCTTAATAACTGTATTTTCATACTTAGTTAATGATTTATTTTTCATTACTAAAATAAGTATTACATTATTTACAAAACAGTTGTATTTAAGAGTAGTTGAGGGTTTTTAGGATCATTCACAATGAGTTAATAAATGATTAATAAACTATTGAAATCAACATTTAAATATCTTATTATTCAGGCATATATTCATAGTTAACTAATATGTTAAAAAATGTTTTATTAACTGAACTTCACGCAGTTTTGTGACCTAATCTAAAGTGAGAACTATTCATGCTTTATAAATCCCTTATTAATGACTATTAAAGGCTCAGGATCAAATGAACAATAATCTTTGGAATCTTTTCAAAAAAGCAAAATTACTGTAAAGTTTAAACATTGCTGAATAACAGGAGTGTCAAAATACAACATAAAACTGGATAAAACAACAACAACAATATGATAATTTAACAATATAGTAAGATGCAATGTTTAAACTTTACAGTGATTTTATTTTAGATAAGGTTGCAAAGAATATTTTTTCATTTGTAGTACAGTTTCATTTGTGTATAATGACATTTCACCTGTTTAGAGTTTAACTGAGCCTTTATTTGTCATTTATAAGGGATTTATAAAGCATAAATAGTCATCACTTTAGATTAGGTCACAAAACTGCATTAAGTTAAGTTAATAAAGCATTTATTAACATATTAGTTAACTATTAATATATGCCTGAATAATAAGACATATAAACGTTGATTTCAATAGTTTATTAATCATTTACTAATTCATTCTGAATGATCCTAAAAACCCTCAACTACTCCTAAATACAATTGGTTTGTAAATAATGCGATACTTAATTTAATAATGAAAAATAAATTATTAACAAAGTATGAAAACACAATTATTAAGCACATTTTAAATATGTTTGTTAGTCAAGAATACAGCACTTGTAGCTGCATTTAAAAACTACTTACTAACCCTTATTGATGTAGAGTCAATGCTTAACAGATAATGAATCCACTATTGCTAATGCTTAATAAATGATTTATAGTATGTAGTTATTATAAAGTGTTACGAAAAAATCTTCTCTCTGTTAAACAGAAATTGGGGAAAAAAATGAACAGGGGGGTGAATAATTCAGGGGGGCTAATAATTCTGAATTCAACTGTAAATATATATATATATGTATGTATATATTAGTCACCGAACAGCTTTAAAAATAGATAGATAATACGTTTAAATTCAATGGAAATATTGGAAAGACAAACTACAAAATTTCAACATCATTTCATATTTTTTTTTGTTTTTCTTGAATTTTCCTATTTAATATTTTTTTCCTAACATAAAATACTAATTTTGGATGAGTTATTTTGCTAAATTATCTCTAGATTTGGCATCAGTACTGACTAAACAGTTGACTTCCGGAGGAAACCCACACCAACACGAACATGAACATGCAAACTTCACACAAAAATGCCAACTGTCTCAGCCAAGACACAATCCAATGAACTTCTTGCTGTAAGGCGACAAAGCTAGACTAAGCCACTGAGCCACCGTGCCGCCTATAACAGGAGAAAACATGCTAAATATTCAGATTGGAAATTACAGGAATAAATTAGTGTTGTACTGTTAAGCTTTATTTTGTAGCAATTAAATGCAGCCATTAAAAAAAAAAACATAAAAAGTGTTACTTTACCAAATGTCCCCACAACTATAGCAAAACAAGTAAATTATGACTTTGTAGGGACTTTATTTGGTCCCCATAAGGATAAAAGCTCATATGTCACCCATTATTAAGCATCCTAAAAATATAATGATGCAGATTGTTTCCTTTGTGTGTTGGGTTTAGGGGATATAACAAACAGTATGTACAATATACACTCATCCACTTGTTGATGCCAAATTCTGACTCTACCATCCAAATGTCGCAGCAGAAATCGAGACTCATCAGATCAGGCAACGCTTTTCCAGTCTTCGAGTGGTTATTTGAGTTACTGTTGCCTTTCTATCAGCTCGAACTAGCCTTCTCCTCTGACCTGTGGCATCAATAAGACATTTGCACCCACTGCCGCTCACTGGATGTTTTCTTTTTTTGGGCCATACTCTGTAAACCCTAGAGATGGTTGTGCGTGAAAATCCCAGCAGATCAGCAGTTTCTGAAATTCTCAGATCAGCCCGTCAGGCACCAACAACCATGCCACGTTCAAAGTCACTTAAATCACCTCTCTTTCCTATTCTGATGCTCGGTTTCAACTGCAGCAGATCATCTTGACCATGTCTACATGCCTAAATGCATTGAGTTGCTGCCATGTGATTGACTGATAAGAAATGTGGGTTAACAAGCAGTTGAACAGGTGTACCTAATAAAGTGGCCTTTGAGTGTACATATTACGTCTATGGTAAGTGCCCATAAATATAGCTGTAAAAGTGTTTGAATATAAATATATATATTTGTGTGTGTGCGTATAAGCCTATATATATACACACACTTGTACAGCTATATAAAAATTTCCTTAATATATGAAATACCCAGATGGAGTACTAAATTTGCCAGAACAGAGCATGCTGTGCAGAATACTATATCCCACAATGTTCTATCATCGACCTCCATTTCCAGTGTGACAAATGAACCGGAACATCAGCAGTAATTTGTTACATCTCCTTCTTGACTCATTATTTGATTAGACAGCCAAGAGTTGCAATGATATTACTCAGAACTGGCTTGAGAATACGACTCTGAGAATATAACGTCAGTCTGATCTTAATGTCAGCGAATCTTCATCTAATGTTAATCCAGATTCAAACAAGGCGACATATAATATCTTTACAGAATAGACTGAACAAATACGGCCTTCACGAGAAAGCCTTGTGTCTGCCGCTCACTTTCATATTTCAGTCAGAATATATTCATACTTTTATCTCTTTCGAGACACTTCCCCTCAATATTTTTAAAGGTCTTTTGAATGGCTCTTTTTCTTGGATCTTGCTGTCGCATTAAGACTCTCCTCCATTTGAACATACTGTATGTGGAACTCAGTCAAAACAACGCTGGCACTACAGAGACTCTCACTATTTAAAATAGATTCTTTTGTGCTCCGGGAAGTAAAGAGAGGCTTTTGATTTTGGAAAGAATATTAGATTTTTTGGAAGAGATTTGAGGATGATGGCTCAATGAATGTTCATTTTCTGGTGAACTATCATTTTAAAAGACAAAAAAGTACATCTACTGTATGCTACAAATGGGAGATGTCAAGTAAACCAAATCAAACATGAAGAAAAAATCAATCATCCATGCTATATTTAAGTATGAACACACTCTAATTGTTTAATGATATAAATTTCAGCAAAAAACTGACCAAAACTGTGATGTTTAACGGTCATCTAAGTAATTAGTTTATCAGATTAAATAAATTACAATGGACATTATACAAGTATATGGTAAAAGACATACACAATAAGAAATAAAGATAACTTTAAGCAATTTGGTAAACAAAAACAGTATACAATACATCTGCATGATTAGACAATTATCAAACCTAACAAAATAACACTGCCAAAATAATACACCTGATAACGAAAAATACATTTAATAGTCCAAAAACTGCTCATTAGATATGCACAAGATGTATTAAATATCATGTTTAACAACAATAGAGAGATAAGATCCAGTGGTACATCCTAGTCGAACTGGCTGAAGTAAAGCTGCTTTGGGCGGAGGAGGTGATGACAAAGCTCCTGCTGACAGGCTGAGGGTCAGAGTCTTCAAAAGCGTACATCGTCAAAGATGCGCTATCTTTATAAATAAACTGCTAATTTGAGTTTAAAACAAATACATTCTCGCATGAAAAACTCTTAAAACTTTATTTTGTAACACAACAGAGGAGAATTTTTAAAATCATGCAGGTTTTCTCCTCTGCTATTAGCTATTGCTGGTCGGCCTGCGTTTCGCAAGTTCACACATATCACCTCTCGATACATCCTTGGCAAAAGGGTCGGAGCAAGTACACATCCGGGTATTTTATATGTGCTTGCCAAGATGTGAACTTTAAATTAGAACAGTACTTCTGCGACAGTTGATGATAATAAAAGATAAAAAAGTCTACTGTATGATACAAATGGGAGATTTTAAGTAAATCAAATCAAACATGATGAAGAAAACAACAACAATCATTTATACTGTATATTTAAGTATGAACACACTTTCATTAACTCTGCTCACACTCTGATTAATTAGTTTGTCTAAATTTCAGCTAATTTTATTATACAATTCCAA